GTGCAGGCCGCCCTGCCTTCCCCGCCCGTGGAGCCTTCCCAGCGCAGCCTGGCCTGCGGGGGGGATGCACGTGACGTCATCGTCCTCCCTCCCCCGGTCTCCGAGGGAGGGGCGCCGGGCGGGGGGGGCTTGCCAGGGGTGCTTCGTCCGGCGTTGGGCCGCCTTGCTTTTCCCCGCAGGCTCTCCTCGGGCCTGAACCTTGTTGGATTAAGGAGGGAGGGAGGAAGGTAGCCCCCCCCCCCGCTTGGCAGAAGAGCGGCCTGGGAAAGCCGCCCCTTCTGCTGGTCTTGCTGACAGCTCCGCCTGACGCAACTGCCCCCCCCCATGCAGTTAACGCACACCCCAGATCTACTGGGCGCCTGCTGGATTCATAAAGAGCAGTCGGTGGGTCAGGATTGAAACCAGCCCCTGTGTATGTACACCGAGAGAGCCCCTGTTTCCAGTATGGAGAAGCAAGCCTTGGCGTTTGGCACTAGTCCCGCCAGGTGATGAGTGACACCTGCCACCCTGAGCCCTTTCTCCCCCTTTCCCACTCAGGGGTCAGGTGCCCAGGAGGGGGCCCTTCAGACCAAGCCTTCTCTGTTCTTTTGAAATGGCTTGCCCAGGGGTGCTGCAGGCTTCCACACAGGTCTGTGCCTTTTGGGCGCTGTTCTCTCCCCCACACACACACACATCCGTAAAGAGACAACACACAGTATGGGTTTTTGGACATTTTTCTTGTGGTAGTTTACCAAACCTGTTGTTGTGCCAGGAAGGCTGTCCTGGTGGCCCAGTTGCTTGGCCATAGTGGGGTACTTTCAAAATCCACCCACAGCACAGCAAAGATAGTGTTCCTGCAACACATAGGGTTCTATTTTGTTAGCCTGTTGAACAGAGAGGCGATACCTCCCAAAGCAAAATCTCAGCAAAAAAGGAAAGTGCATAAAATGTCACTTTCTCCCTCTCAGCTGCTGGTCCCCAGACATACATAGATGTACTATAGATCAACCTGCAGTGCAGGAGGATCGCCCTTCCCTCCAACTGCCCCCACTTTTTGATATCATTAAGTTTGCTAAATAATTTTGGAGGATTTGGGACCTTGCACACTTGTCTGGCATTTTAGTTGGTCCCAGAAAATGTTTTGTCCTTTTCTGGATTTTGGGTTTCTTTATAATACTGCATCTCTTTTGTTAGGAGGCTAATTAGGGAATGAAGTGTCCAAACTAAATTGAAAGCCTTTGCTTTTAAAGTAAACAGCTGTCCTACTGTCAGTTCACTGAACAGGAGTTATTTACATGGGCATGGATTTGTTTGCTTGTATGATGGCCGCATTGCAAAACATGCAACTTTGGTCTAGATGTGCCCCTTAGTTCTTCCTTTACTTAAATCAGCTTTCCTCGTGTTTTCAGGAAATGGAAGACAAGGTGATTAGTCCTGAGAAAGCTGAAGAAGCCAAGTTGAAAGCGAGGTATCCTCATCTGGGACAAAAGCCTGGAGGGTCGGATTTCTTGAGGAAGCGCCTCCAGAAAGGAGTGAGTCCATGTGACTAGCCTATCATCAAGGCCTCTGTTGGATTATAGTGGTCTTTCGTTTGCTTCTACAACTATGTGGCTTGCTTTGATGCCAGTGCTTTAGTCCTAAAACTATATTCTGAGCATGAGCGGCCAGTTGATTTCAGTTGAGTTTCAAGGAAAGCATACTTGGGGTCGAAGTTTTGGGGCAAGATTGTTTCCAGTATTTTAATAAAAGAAGCTCCATGCCTTTACATGTCTCCCTTTAACAATGCTAGGGTTAGAGGCGGCATACCCCCATGTAGTTCAAAATCTGTGCCCCTAAACCATAGCTACAAAGTGTAAACAGTTACGGTAGTTCATTCTCTCTTTCACTCGGACACAGGCAGAGATAATAGTTCTCTCTGTTGGGATTCTCTTCCATAGCATTGACAATCCTTTGCATACAGTACTGTGTTTAATGAGTTTTAAAGGTCCTTATGGCTCCACGATCAAGAAGATGGATTAAAGATAATGTGTTTGGGGACACATAGACAACTTTGCCTTCAGTATTGAACTCATAGGATTCTGGATGACCAGGGCCCCAGTATTTATTAAATATGTATTTATTTACCATATTTATTGGGAAAAATCCATTTTTACCCAAAACTGCTACTCAGACCTGTGCAATATGCTTTTAAAAGAAAGGTAGACATGCTTTTCTAATGAGCAGTGAAAAATGCTGAGTAACATGTCTCTTTCAGAACATGTAATCTAATGTGACTGAAGACTGCTTCAAGGATTCAAAGACAAGTGCTCTGCTTTTGTGTGTGTGTGTGTGTGTGTGTGTGTGTGTGTGTGTGTGTGTGTGTGTGTGTGAGAGAGAGAGAGAGGTGTTTTGCATTGGTACACGTGTACATTCACACTTAGAAACTGGGGAAACCTAGTTTTTTTCTGTACAGAGATACCATTCTTGATGAATGCAGTTTTTGATTTGTTTTTCAGTGAGTTTATTCCCCTGCCTTTGTCTTGCAGCAAAAGTACTTTGATTCTGGGGATTACAACATGGCCAAAGCGAAGATGAAGAACAAGCAGCTCCCGGCGGCAGCTCCTGATAAGACTGAAGTCACAGGTGACCACATTCCAACTCCACAGGACCTTCCACAGCGGAAACCATCTCTGGTGGCTAGCAAGCTGGCTGGCTGACTAGACGGGCAGAGAGATGCATGGATCTTCTCATTCCCTGAGTCGTTCCTTAATTGTTCCTTCTCATATGTTATGTTTTCCCTTAAGTCATTGACTGACCGCTTTTCAGGTAGTGATACGTATGCTGCTATGATAAGAGAGTCCTGTTAAGAATTAAGTTTTGTAGTCCTAGGAGGAGTTGAGAAGAATGCACTGATTTTTTTTTTAAAAAAGGACACCTTTCGTTAGAGCAATGTAATCTACTTGAAAAAAATGTATATATTACTTATTTGCTAGTGTAGGACTGGTTTCAGCAAGCGTGACATGGCAAGTTTCACTGTTTTTAGTCTTTCTGCTTTCCTTAGTTCACCTTAATTGCAGCATCGTATGTCTGGATTTACCACAACCCCTTGTTGTGTTTTGGTTTTGTAAATTAGAGGTTTTGGACCGTGAGTTGCTAGACGGTAAAGCCTGTATTAAAGGAGGAGGAGGAGGGGCTCTGACTTTGTGTATCTGCTCTTGAACGTGAATGGCCTTAAACCAACTTCAGCTTTAACAGTAGAGTTTTACTTGAGCAATATTTGCTCCTTTTGGTGTAATTCCTGCCAACCTTGTGCTCCTTGACAACTGCCTGTTGAAGCTGGCATTCTTTTGGGTTCTAGAGTGTAGAACACATTTTGCCAGTGAATGAAGCGTGCATGTGTGTAGACCCGGTTCACTTTTGTGCCATTTCTGTAAATAAGATAGTTTTGCACAATTTTTTTCCAAATATCTGTTATCATTACATTTTAAAATGTGCCAATCAGAAGCACAAATATTTCTGTACCCTTGAAAATCCTAATATCTGGTTCTGCTACCTTACTGAAAGTAACAAGCTTATATTTTTAAGGTCTAAAAGAGCTTGAAGTACTGCTGAATCAGCTTTGCTCGTACATCTTTCTTGGCGTGTGTCAGCTATGCCCTACAGCATTTAGAAGACAGAACACCTAAGCTAGTCTACCTAAGGTAGTTCCCACTTCAAGGGGGATAAATTAATTTAATGGCAAATATAGTGCAGTAAGCAATTTGTAGATCATACTGGATAGGATATTTCAATACTACTGTATCTTCTTTCCACCATATTTTAAAATGTACTTTAAAAACTTGTGTGAATTGCCAGATGTTTAGAACGTGAACCTGGAGACAAACTTCTGCTGCTATTTAAAGTCTCTGACATGTTAAAAACATCTTTTAGTTCAGGAGTAGTTGGTTAAAAAATACATTTTTGCATTGGGAAATAAAGGTGGTATTGGTTACATTTTTGTACAGATACTGTAATTATTCATTATAAACACACCAGTTCTTTGATTCGGTTAGAAAATACTCTGGAGGGATTGACCTAGATAGCAAATGCAGCTGGACATCTGACATATCAAAACTAGCTCACTTTGCTGGTAGCCTTTTGCTTCCCTGTGGAAGGCTTTCTTGCTGCCTGACATCCTACTCTGTGAGGATCATGTTCTCCTGAAGTTTGAGGTCTAAGGGAAGCAAAGTTTGAGCACAACTTCTCTTTGTGGCTTAAATGTTTCCAAGAGGTGTCTCCAAAACCCCACAGTAACCCGTCTTCTGCAGAGCCCCTTTTAATAAGCAGGTCTGAGTGATGCCACAACCCATGTTTGCTAGCTCTGACCTAAGCAGGTCAGAAAGTAGCTTTCAGCCATACCGAGCCTGGAATCTCCCATTGACTTTGCCCTGTCTCCATGCCAGCCTTGTTTCCCAACCAAGGGTCTGTTGCTGCGTATGGGTCCCCTGAAGGTTTATTCAAGAGTGCTTGTACAGATTTAATTTTGCTATCTTGTTGTCATGATGTCATGGCATCAGCCCTGTTATCATGACAGACAACTTTGATATCTCCTTGCTGCATTTGAATTTTGGGGTACCATCACTGAGACAGACCACCATTTGTTAAATAAACTTAGCAGATTGATAGAGATCTAAACCCAGTTACTAGTCCCAGCTCAGGTGGCCCTGTTGAATCAGTGGGATTGAAATCTTAATTTAGCAAAGTCTCATGGACCCAGCGGGTCTACTCTGTTTTGGACTAACTGGATTTAAACTTTTGTTTTTGTATATATGATGAAGAGAATAAACTAGAACTGTAGAATGCAAGAGTAACATTAATTGCCCCGCACAGAAGGCTGTTTTTAGTTTTGTGTTTCTATGATGAAGACTAGATCTTGTGAGAATTGACCATGGTCTAAACCTGTTACTTCCTAAGAGAAAATGATCCTGGAGTATTTCCTCGTTGTTGTGCCCCCCCACCCGCAGATCACAGTAAGATGAACTGGTTTTACAAATGGGAGAAGGTATCTAGAACTGCATGAACCTCCCTACTCCATCCCCACTATAGATGACCATTCTGTATTAGTGATGTGACAGTGCCCTAGTCCATTTCCACCAATGAACCGAAACTGTCAAAAGAACGTAGACTGGTGATCTACAAGAATCTATATTCCAGCATCAGCTACTTGATCCTGCTCTAATGGGGGACCTGCTGCTCTCGATAAAATTTGATGACAGAAGATAGTTTGGTCATCTTCTCTGTTAAGGATCCAAGGAGAAAGATAACTGTCTCTTTTGAGAGTGAATGGGTGGCCAACTTGCATTGTTAAGCTTAACTCTGACAAGGGGTTGCTGTTAAGCTTGTGTACATAGTGTAACATATGAATTTTGCCATTTGATAAAGAACCTTTTTTCAGAGATTTCTCTGCACCAGAGTCTAGCAGTCGGTCTGTTTTCTGCAGTGACGAGCAGTGCTTATCTGTAACAAAGACAGGATGCAGTTTTTCCCAGACTCTTCCCAGTCACTGCTCGTGGAGGAATGCAGTGCTCCAGAAGTGTTTCTGGAGAGGTCACCCCCCCCTCCACCTGCTCGTTCCTTCATAGTCCTAGGAGGGCATTTGCTGAGGCCACGGAAAGAACCCCTTGGTTTGATATGTTAAGGGGTGGTGAAAGTTTAAGTTGCTGCTCCATACCACCGTTGACCCTGTATAGTATGGATAATAAATTCAACTAATTAGTTTTCATCATTTTGTAGAAATGTGTCTGCTCTTTTAATCTGTGTCTCCCGCTGTCCCCAGACCTTGGGCAAGAATGGAATTGAATTTCTTGGTTCTGGCTACCAATAATTTTCTATAGAACTTGCTTTCCACTTTAGGAAAAAGTGACCAGCCCTGTTTTCTAGTGTGTTTCAACTGCAGAACTCTATCCATACCTTATTGTAACAAACTTTATATACCTTATTTTTCTAATATTGGTATTAAAACTTAATATTGTTTGACTTTAATTCCATAACAGGCTTGTTTCTGTCCTTGTGAGGTGAAAGCATGCTGAAATTTAACCAAGTAATCACCTTTGGTTGAGGATTTGCCATTCCTCCCTCCTAAGGCAGTGCTTCCCGTCCTGGGGGTCATGATTCCCAGGGGGATCATGGGTCAACTTATATGTAGCCCTTGTTTTATCATGCCTTCCTTGACCTTTCAGAGCGGGATGTTAAATTTAGTGTGTATGTGTGTGTATGAGAAACAGGCCCTTTGGGGGAAGAAAGAAGCCTTCACTTTCTGAGAAGGGATGATTTTACCTGTTTAAAAATGCCTTTTTATACAAACGTGGCAAGGGGGGGGTGTCACATGTTACTTGGGTCTTATAAAAGGGGGCCACGATTCGGAAAAAGGTCGAGAGCCACTGCCCTAAAGGATGTTTAGTGGGTCTTGTCTAACTTGGCTGCCAGCTGACTGATGGTGCTAGAGGCTGTATTTATTATATATTATATTACATAGCTTTATTCAAGCTATTGATACCCTTCCTGTCTCCTCAAGAAGAGGTATTCAATATTGAAACAAGCCATGTAAAAACTAGAAGAGGGCATCAGCAGCCCCTCACTGAAGCATCCAGTGACTGAGAAACCTGCCTGACAAGAGAGAAGGTCTCTGCCTGCCTCCAGGAAGATGGCAGAGAGGGGTCCAAGCTGGCCTGCTGTGGGAGGGCGCTCCACCCCTTGGGGACAGAGGTGGCCCTCTCTCTTGGCGCCACCAAGAGCACCCGAGAGGGCAGCGGGACGGAGAGAGAGGCCTCCTCTTAAAACTTCAGGCTCATAAAGAGAGACGAGGCTTGAGAGGGCAGCTCTAAAGCTGCAAATCACTGCAGAGGAGAAGAGCCATCATGAGCCAGGGGCTGGCTGCCTTTGGGCCAGTATCCAGAAACACCGGGCTAACCCAGCGGCGAGCAGAACACCGGAGTAGCTGGCCCTCGGGTCTGATGCCATCCGCAATTCTTAATTGTTGGCCAGACCAAGGAATCTCATGCATGTGGCTTCTGCTTAGACTCTGCTTCCTGGGGGTATCTTCTCCATGGGTCCTGCCCTGTAAGGAGGAGAACTCTGGCCTTGTGGAGGCTATAAATGGCTAGAATTACACCACAGTTGTCCTCCTTAGATACAGCCATACAAACAAGTTTCTATATTGGGCTAATTGAGCTGATCACACTTGGAGGCTTTATTGTTAATTTGCTAAAGGGCTTGAGGCACTTAAAATACAAAAGGTAAGTTGCAAGTTTGTTGTCGACCATAACAAACTATGGCAAGTCCTTAAAGAAATGGGAGTGCCTGACCACCTTATCTGTCTCCTGAGAAATCTATATGTGGGACAGGAAGCAACAGTTAGAACTGGATATGGTTCTAACTCTTGCTTCCTGATTGGGTCAAAATTGCGAGAGGAGTACAACAAGGCTGTATATTGTCTCCTTGCTTATTTAACTTATATGCAGAATACATCACGCGAAAGACAGGACTGGATGAATCCCAAGCCGCAATTAATATTGCTGGAAGAAATATCAACCTCCTCAGATATGCAGATGATACCACTCTGATGGCAGAAAGTGAGGAGGAATTAAGAAACCTCTTAATGAGGGTGAAAGAGGAGAGCGCAAAAAATGG